CTTCTCCATTCCCTGCTGCCGTGCACAAGCGTCTCCTCAGTGAGTCACTTCACCTAAGCCTCATTATCTCCTTTTTAAGATGGGATGACACTCCTCCTCCCTCCTCTCTCTCTCTCTCTCATAAATAAAACCAAAAAAAAAAAAAAAAAAAAACATCTGGCACTTGGACACTCGCCCATTCAGTGACCCTTCCTGAGCACTACAGCTGCCAGGTCACGGCGACATGAGGCTCCCAGTCTAGAGGGAGACAGGAGTCACAGTGCCTGGGGACACTAGCCTCCAGCTGAGAATGGGGCTGGGTAGGAAAGCTGCCCCACAGGTGATCTCTGGGCTGCTGCCTGAAGGTCACACACGAGTTGGCGGCAAGGAGAGTGTATAAAGCCAAGCAGTGAGGGGGCGCAGGGTGCAGCCCAAGGCGCAGGGGTGATGGGTGGGGTAAGAAATGGGGCCAGACTCAAGATCTACATGTTCACTTGCACCGTGTAAAGGAAGGCCAAGTGGGAAGGGCAGGATGCTGTGGCCACACGGAGTGGGTGGGTGGGATCCTGCAGGGAGGAACTGTGGCCCCACCTACCTTAATCATGTCATCCATGATGTGCACATCAAAGCCTTCGCAGTCACCACAGGGACTCCGGATCCGCCACAGGTCCTGTGAGGAAGGCACAGCCCTTGTTGACACCCAGCTGGGGATGGACATCACAGGTTCTGTAGAGCAGCATGCCGGCATCCACACCCACCCACAGACACAGAAGTGTGGTCACAAGAGCAAGAAGGGTCAGTGAAGTTGGGCTGGGGGTGCCCCAGCCCCAAACCTGAGGCACACCTTGCTATTCCCGCACACTTGGAAGAGACCCCAAGGTCGAAGGGGCTCAGAGATTTCAAGGATCCAGGATGGTCATTCAAATCTGTCAGGTCTCACAGGACCCCAAGTCCTCACCTACAGGGGGACAATCTGCCAGAGCCACTGGGATGGGTTTTCTTGGGGAAGAAATCTGTAAACTAGCTCCTGAGGCTCTGCACCTATGAACAGAGCACGAGGACACTGGGAGGGAGGGGACCACAAGTGCACCCAGGCCAACCAATTTTGTGTCCCATTTCCAGGATACATGCCTGGGAATGAGCATCACTCCCACATTCCCTCCTGGGCCATGAAAGCCAGAACCCCCGTGGAAATCTCATGAGGTAAATAAACAACACGGAAGAAATGCCCAGAAAATAAGCGACAGAGCCACTGAGCTCCCAATGGATGAAGCTGCTCTAATCAAAGAAATATCAAAGGAGGTTCACTCTACTTCTCAGGTTGAAAGCATTTCAAAATCCTTTTAAAAAGAAATGCCTTTCCCAAAACGACTTTGTGACTGGTTCTGCTTTGATGAGAAAATCAAAATGAAGCTTTTCAATTTTTTCTTGCATAAAGAAGCTGACTTTCCATCTCAAAATGCTTTTAACAACTGGAGCGTCAGCTCTTCATAAGAGCAGAGCGAACCATGCAGCATGTCTTCTGAAACTCTTCATTTATGTTTTTTAATTATTCTGATAAGGGATAACTGTAAAATGACAACACACAGCCACTTCCATTTCGTATGCCAAATTACTGCATTTGTACAAAGGCAAGCCTTTTCCATTCAACCCTGCAGTGTGCTGATACAGAAAAGGACAGACTCCCACCATGAGGACTCACACTGCTCCACCTGCACCCAAGGTCTCTGCAAGAAAACAAGGCCCCTCCCCTCCCAGACCTTCTGCAAAAACTTGTGGGTGGCCTACCCTGAACTCCACGACCACAGCGTGCAGCGAGGCAGCCTGGGGCATCACCACAGCACCGGGCCCCAGCTGCTGGTCCACAGCGGTCCGCACGTACCAGAAGTACAGGTTGTGCCATGGCAGCAGGCTGGTGGTGAAGAACGGCTCCCCCAGCAGGAGAGAGACCTGGCAATCAGAGCAGGAAGCAGGACCAAGGCGTCAGAATGATCCAGCTAAAGAGTGAAGGCACATGACAAGTTTCATGGGAAACACGCAAACAAAAAGGCATTCATTCACTCACTCAGGCAACCAACGAGCATGCCAGGTCTGCCCCTGCCCTGAAGGACATAAAGATGAGCAGACACGAGCCCCGCCCTCAGGAGCGCAGAGAGGTGAAGAGGGGATCCTTGTACAGCGTGGTAAGCTTTGCCAGTCAGAGGCGAGGAAGGGACATGTGGAGGGAGCCCAGACGGAACAGCATCAGGAAAGCTTCCTGAATGGCATCCCGTAGGTAGATCCCCACTCCTAGCTTATCATGACAAACTGTTACCAGTGCTCCTCCAGCAGGCTGCCTCACTAGGTTCTGAGCACCAGAGAAGCGAGGATGTTGGCAGCACAGTATCCCCCCACCCTGCAAAGTACTGGCGCCGAGCTGATGATCAGTGAACGTTTGCCAAGTAAATGAACAAACACATGAATAGGAGTCAGAAAAGCAAAGGACCGGGGATTCGAACAGAGGGATGCAGGGGCAAAAGCATGGGTGTGAGAGCAAGGCCCTTCGGGAGCTTGTTACACAAGCAAACAGGGTAGGATTGGTAAAGGGTGAGGCCAGAGAAGTGAGGCCAGAGGAGCCAAGTAGCCCAAAGGCAGCTGATGGCAGGCCAAGGGGACTGGACCCTATCCTGGAGGTAAGAGGGGATCTCTAAATGCTTTCATCAGGAGTTCAAATGGAAGGAATGTGTGTTAGAAAGAGCCCTCTGACAACCAAGAAGCATGCGGAGACCCCACCCGCAGGGAGTATGGGCACAGGAGAGGACTTGGCTGAGTACTGCAATGGACCAAGCAAGGAGTGGGGAGCGTACAGAAGGAAGGAAGGAATGGGAGACACGGCAGATGCTGAAGAGACAGGGCACCCAGGGCTGGGCCCAAGCAGAAGGGCATCAAGGGAGGGGCCGGTGTAAGATGATACCCGGTGTCCCGCTGAGGTAAGGAAGATGCAGAAGGAAACACTGAAGACAGAAAAGAGTTGGTCCTGCAACATTGGAACAAGGCAAGAAAGCCTGGTCTCACCCTCTTCCAGTCACCACTCTAGTGACCTGGAGGCTAGCCAGTGTGCCATTATCAGTGGCATATAGAACAGGAGGATTTTTTTTTTTTTAAGATTTTATTTATTTATTTGACAGAGAGAGACACAGCGAGAGGGAACACAAGCAGGGGGAGTGGGAGAGGGAGAAGCAGGCTTACTGCGGCGCAGGGAGCCCGATGCAGGGCTCGATCCCAGGACCCTGGGATCATGATCTGAGCCGAAGGCAGACGCTTAACGACTGAGCCACCCAGGCGCCCCAGAACCGGAGGATTTTTTTAATCCTCATCTATGAGACGGACAAAAAAAAGTGCAACTTGTACTGAGTGTTCAGACAGTGACATTCATAGCAGCCAAAAAGTAGAAACAACCCAAGTGTCCAGCAACTGCTGAACAGATAAACAAAATGTGGTCTATCCATGCAATGGAATATTCTTCAGCAATAAAAAGAAATGTAGTACTGATTTATGCTACAACATGGATGAACCCTGAAAGAAGCCAGTCACAAACAGACTACACATTTCGTATGATTCCATTTATGTGACTGTCCAGAATCAACAAATCCCTGGACAAAAAGTAGATTGGAGGTTGCCTAGGGTTTGGGAGGATTGGGAGCAAGTGGGAAGTGACTGCTAATGGACACAGGGTTTCTTTTTAGGTGATAAAAATGTTCTAAAACCGACTGTAGTGATGATTTTACAACCTTATGAATATACTAAATCACTGAATTTCACACTTTAAGTGGGTAAATTGTATGGTATGTGAATTATATCTCAAAAATACTTTCTCAAAAAAAAAAAAAAAGGCATGGGGAAAAACGGGCAAAAGAAAAGCTATGTCACCAAACTCAACATGCAACAGCTACTGAGCATGTGGAAAGGTGCTCAACATCATTAGTCATTAGGCAAATACAAATCAAAATTATGAGACATGACCCGCTAAAATGACCATAACAAAAATGACAGACAGTACCAACTGTTGATAAAGATACAGAAGAATTGGAACTTTCATACATGTTACTAGTGGGGATGTAAAATGGTATAGCTGCTTTGGACAACAGTGTGCAGTATCTTAAAAAGTTAAACAAAAATACCACACAACCCAGCAATTCCAAGCCTATGCATCTAAGAGAATTAAAAACATGTATCTTCACGAAGACATGTATCAATGCTCACAGCAGCAGCGGGAGTGCCTCGCTGGCTCAGTCAGAGGGCAGGGGACTCTTGACCTTGGAGTCATGATTTTGAGCCCCATGTCGGGCACAGAGATTACTTGAATAAAAAAATCTAGCTGCAACAGTTCCCTCCTAAAACTAAAACTAAAAGAAAGAAAGAGAAAGAAATGTTCACAGCAGCATTATTTTAAAGGCCAAAAATAGTTTTTGAAACAATCCAAATATCCACCAACAGGTGAATGGAGAAACAAAATGCGGCATGGCATAATATTCAGCATTAAAAAGGAATAAGATGCTGACACATTCTACAACATGGATGAGCCTCAAAGGTGTGACCAGTGAAAGAAACCCAACACTAAAGACCACATATTGTTTTATTCCACTTATATGAAATGCCCAGAAAAAACAAATGTATAGACAGAAACCAGATCAGTGCTTGCCTGGGGTTAGGGGCTACGTGATGGAAATGCTCTAAAACTAGAATGTGCGATAGCTGTACAACTCTACAAACTTACTAAAAATCACTGAATTGCACACTTGAAATGCGTTACTTTTATGGTATGTCAACTCTCAGTAAAGCTGTTTAAAAACAAAAAAAGGTGGCAAAGAAAGATGATCGATTCCAGCTTAAAGGGCCTGTGGGATATGTAAGGAAAGCTATCCAGATGGCACCTGGACATGATCACCCAGAGAGAAGACACAGAGGGAGAGGGCAGGGGGAGGGGCAGAGGCAGAGAGAGAACCTTAAGTGGACTCTCCATGAGGGCGGGACTCGACCCCATGACCCTGAGATCATGACGTGAGCCAAAACCAAGAGTCAGAAGCTCAACCTACTGAGACACCCAGGCGCCCCTAAAAAAAGCAGTCTCTTAAGGACCTAAAAAGAAATGTGTTAAGGCCTCTGGGTCACGAGGGTCCAGGAGCTGGTGAGAGGAAATGTGCGGGAAGACTGTGTTTAGTGTCTCAGGTCACTAAGGGGTGGGAGTAGTTTCAGAGGCACACGGGATGGGGTGGGGGTGGTCAGAAGACCAACTGTGGGAGACAGAAGATCAGAAGATCAGAAGATCAACCACAGGGGTGGCAGGAAGCAGAAAGGCGAACCAAAACACGGGGGCAAAGGGAGCTGGAGCGCTGTAAAGGGGTAAGGCAGAGAGGACACAATACGCTGCTATTCATCCCAACAGAGCCACCCTCCCTCGGACGCAGCAGAGATCAGCTAGAGTTGAGAGCAGCGCACAAATCTGCATACCAGGCATCTCCGCCTTGCCTGGCCTTGTGGCTGAGACAGGTGTGGGAGCCACCACGCAGCCGAGAGAAGAGAAGGGGGCGCTCAGGCCAGCGCAGTGCTGGGCTGTCCGTGCAGGGACAGAGCCCTCGCCACTCACCTTTTTACCCTTCAAGTCTGCAGACGTTACCAATTCAGGCCGTTTCTCTATTATATTAATTTTATCTTCCAAGTGGTTAGCCTTGAAAATCTTAACGAGAAAAAAAAAATGAAAGTATTGTTTTTGTCCACGGGAAAAAAACATCTCAAAGTTGCCTCGTCTGTTTGCAGTTTTCTGGCCAAATAGTTCTGGAGGACACTTTTATCTGCTTTGTGAAAATTCTCTCCTCCAGGGGCATCCTGTGCACCAAAGATGAGATCACTAGCAAAATGTTGTAAGAGCAAAAGAAATTTCTCTTGCAGGCATATAAGCAGGACTCAGCAACAGGCTTGTAGTTCTGGGAGTTTCCTTCAGAGAGGAAAAAAACAAAACCAATCACCGGCCAGGGGGAGAAATACCATCACAGAACCAATCAGTCAGGCCAGCTTGTGAGCAGTGACTCCCTGGACACTGGGTCGCAGAAACAAATCATAAATTCAGTTGTATCACTGCAAACATTTTAGTTTTGTTAGTTTTATGTGAAGTGAGGAGAAAAGCCATAAAAAGAAAGGAGAGTCTGAATGTTTGCTGCTATCCAGGGACAGCCCGAGAAGATTTCCGAGCCAGCTCTCAAGATGGAGGGGGTCCTCACTAGCTCCCGTAGTGCCAACACGGCATCAAAGCGGCATCAAAGCAAACAATCCCAGATGCAGGAAGGCAGGCCCCGCCCGGTCCCCCTGTCAGTTCCATAACAATTACCACTTACTTTTCTCATCAGTCTGTGTGAAGCTGCTGAGTTCTCTACTGTAAATACCTAAAGAGAATACCATGCCCTTAGTTGTGGGAGATTCATGTGACAGAGAAAGAAATTAGAGATTAAACACCAATATGATCATTCCAAGGCAGAAGGTACCACCAAACCAAGTCTACCTGTGCTCATTACCCAGGGGGACAGCACCCCCTTTCTTCTTTTTCCAAAGACTTTGAGAGACAGAGCGGGGGCGGGGGGGGGAGAAACCAACTCCGTGCTGAGCATGGAGGCCACACAGGGCTTGATCCCCTGACCCTGAGATCATGACCTGAGTTAAAGGCAGACACTTAACTGGCTGAGCCACCCAGGCATCCCTGCACCCCCTTTCTGCACTGACCCTAGCAAGATGCAGATGCAGACAACCGAGCTGCAGCTCTATGGGAATAGCTACAACCTGACTCCTGCCTGCACACGGAGGCGAGCAACCCTAAAGCCCCACATCCTTGGCAGCTGTGCTTGCAAAGAGCCCGAGTCACAGAACTGTGTACCCAGACCACGCAACATTCGAACTCAAGAGCCGCCTTTAGGAAGCTAGCAGAAAGGCACGTGTCCAGTACCTGCTCTGCCCCAAGGTGATGGGCCAGCAAGGAGAGCAGACTGCCGTCACTGACACACAGGCACACGCTGGCCGGCTTCAGCACCTGCAGGAGAAGAACCACCTCAACACAGGTTTTCTTATAGTAGGTCAAGAAATTCTTGTTGGCACACTCACAGAAATGCTTCCCTTCTCCTGACCCCACCAACTCACTCTGTGATCCTTCAATCCGATTCTACACCCTCAACACCCAGCTGGATCTTCTTGTGTCCCCACAGTCATGCTTGCCTTCCAGGCATTACGCAGCCCCTGCCCTCCAATGTACCCACCTCACCAACCTCTCCCCACCCAGACCTGTCAGGAAAGACTCCTCAAGCTGTCCTAAAAGGCCCAGCTGAAGACCTGCCCCACTTGCTGGAGGCCACCTCCCAGTCTACAACAAGCCTCTTCCCTCTCTGGTCATAGCACAGACAACTGTGGGCCTGTTGAGTGTCTCGCCAAAGGCAGGGATTACTTTACAGGTCCCAGATCCCTTTGAAGGAAACGTAAGACAGCTGGGATCTTCCCTCCTGCAAAAATGCATGCATTTGCATATCTGCACACATATTTCTGCATAGCACTCCAAGAGGTCCAAGAGATACCCCTCCAAACCCTGTGTGTGGTCCTGGCCTGAGAGACCCCTGCTATAGGCAGCAGGGAGCAAAGGTTTTTAGGCAGGACAGTTATATAACCAGATTCATATTTTAGAAAATTTTATTTTATTTTTAAAGATTTTATTTATTTATTTGAGAGAGAGAGAATGAGAGATAGAGAGCACAAGAGGGAAGAGGGTCAGAGGGAGAAGCAGACTCCCTGCTGAGCAGGGAGCCCGATGCGGGACTCAATCCCGGGACTCCAGGATCATGACCTGAGCCGAAGGCAGTCGCTTAACCAACTGAGCCACCCAGGAGCCCTATTTTAGAAAATTTTAGAAAGGAGGCAGACGAAAGGAAGGATGGGGTGGCTGAATCCACTGGGATCATCCACAGGAACTGCTAGTGACCACAAAGGTGACATGTTTAGAGGGACAAAGGCAGGGGCCGAGGTGAGGCTCCCAGGAAGAGGCTCTCACAGGAGAGCAGAAAACTAGCCCTCAGAAAGTCTGGTAACATGCTCCCTGGCTCACCACCTGAGGGCCCACCCAGAAGCCACCTGAAGACCAGGAAGCACAGAAATCAAAACCAACGAACTATAAGCAAGCAATGAGCTGGGGCCCACGGGACTAACTCCTTCTTGCCTATGACCACCCAAGGGACTGGACACTGACCGTCCTCAGGGCCTGGACGTATTGGTCAGTTCTGTCCTGATCATTGATCTCTCCAAACCGAGGCCTGTTCCAGAGCAGGTGAGCTTGGCAGTCGCACACGGGGCGTGCTGGGTAGACTCTCCCGTTTTTTTCAGGGCTAGGCCAGGAAATGAACAGATGGACACATATGATGAGCATGACCTGCTAGGCACTGGCAGGCATAAAGGCATGGCACAGGGATCTGCCCGGTAGAACTGAGCTGGGCCATGGTGGGCACATCCTCTAGAGGGCATGGGTCTAGAAGCTGGCTTACAAATGGGCATTAGAGGTTAGAGGGCCCCCCAATTCAAGACTTCTCATCTAGGGCTCTTCCAAATGGGGGCCCCGCAACTGGGACAGCCTCTTCTAGTACAGGACAATGGGCGCTAACACATCCAGTCACAAAACTTTTACTCTTATTTCATTCTGTTCAGACACAAACCTGCCCCCTCGTGCCTCTACAGGGTCTATGAGGCAAACTTACATAAGTGCACAGTGTCACCGGCCCAGGGCACCGCCCCCCCCAACAAGACTTGGGACATACCTGGTCTTCTGGAGGCTGTACCATACACAATAGTCATCGTGGTGGGCTACCAGGCAGAGGCTTGAACCTTGGACAACGGGCTCTTCTTGTGGCAGGAAGTACACACACTGCATCCAGTGGTCCCGCCACTGAAACAGGGAACAGAGAATCAGGCGTCCCCAAGCTGCAAAAAGAGCAACGCTTCTAATCTAGGAGTCAAAATCCACGCCCAAAACCCACTTGCAGGGAGACCATGCTGTGGACTACAGATGCCTACTCTTGCCAAAAAAATAAAGAAGAAAATTCTCAAGTCAGAGAGGCTAATGGCTGGAAAGCTTGCTGGAACGCTACTGGCTTTAGAAGGATACAGTGCAGCCCAGGGTAGCAGTCTTCAAGAGGAGTTCAGGACCAGGGGCTCTGTCCCATGTACGGGCATGTGTCCATGTGCATGCCTCCACCTCACGTGTGTGTGTGCGCACGTACAGGCAAGGAAGAAGGGAAGCAGAGAGGGAAGATAGGGGAGAGAGTAAACAAACAGAGCAAATGCTAACCGTTGGGAAATTTAAGTAAAGGGCATATCAGTGTTTATTTTCATTTTTTCTGTGGGTTTAGAATTTTTCCAAAATAAAAAGTTGGGAAAATAGTACAGAAAGGTCTTGTTCTGTTTATTCTTTTGAATTACAGTTTTTAGGGGCGCCTGGGTGGCTCAATCGGTTAAGCCTACAACTCTTGATCTCAGGACCATGAGTTCAAGCCCTTTGTTGGGCTCCATGCCTAGTGCAGTGCACTTATTTAAAAAAATAAAAATAAAAATAATATAAAATCCTTTTTAAAGACCTGAAATACTCTAAATTGTGAAACAGTTTACAATGATCCAGAGTCAACTTTTAATAAGCTCTGTTCATCCTTTTTGACACTACAAATCCCACATACAGGATTCTTTGCTAAGAAAAACCAAAGGAAAAAAGCTATATTCACATGAACACCCTTATTACAGATTTAGACTAGCAAAACCTGGCCCCGACCCAAATGTCCAGCAGCTCAGAAATGGATCTACAAGTCCTTATACAGAATATACAGAGTATCAGCAGACGCTAAAGATGGTAACTGAAGACGAGTGCAGCATGAAAATACAGACATCAGCACCGACAATCTCATGTATGTGGAAAGAGATCAAAAGAAGGAAGTTCTTTGCAGTGATAGGACCCTGAGTGACTTTGGATTCATTTTTGTTTTACACAAGGAGGTTTATTACTCTTACAATCTTTAAGCCTCTTTTTAAAAAAGAAGGAACTATCCTAAAAAGTGGATACCTGGTGCAATTCTGACGAGACGAGTGTGTGCTCATTCTCTGTCATCAGCAGGAACTAAGAAAAACTTGGTCCCTAGGAAACTTCCAGGGCACTGCTGGGTGCGGATGCAAACAGAGCTGACACCAGCCCCACTTCACAGGAACGCATTCTGCCCTACCTAGATTTGAATTTTAACCGAAAGGCAGGTGAACGATATTCCCAGGTTATCTAAAATGTCTATCTGAACATAAAAGTTAGAAAATGACAGTGTAACTAGACACATTATAGCACAAGTAAACGCTAACAAGGAGGAATAAATCGATTCTCTAAAACCTGTTGTTCATTCCTTACTGGGCAAATTGACCCAAAGACAAGAGAAGCCTTCCCCAATAAGGCTCTCTGACCATCATGTCCTCACAAGCCAGCCTCCCAGGTCTGAACGCTAAAGGGATGCTGACTGAACCCACTGGCCGAGGTGAGAGAGACTGAATATATTTCAGACCAAGAGCAGTTTGGTGAAGTCATGAGGGAGATCCATTAGCAGCTCTTCAAATTTCTAACAGTCCATAAGTCACCGCCGATAAAGGAAAGACAAACCCATCAGGAGACAAGCACCCACCACTGCTGCCTAGACAGGAGGCCCAGCTCCGATCACTGGGTCAGGCCTCAGTCTCAGTTTGGGCATTATGTGGTTAACCAGCACGTCTTGTATGAGGATTGAAGGGAAAAAAAAACATACTAGTGATGAGGGAGCAGAAGGCTAGCTGAAGACAAAGCATAAGCTGACCCTGCAACCTCTCCCCACCCCCTACTTCTGGATGGGACATGTGACAGTCTTCCAGGAATCTCCCTAAGATATTAATGTTAACACTTTGCCAGAGGGGAAAACAACCTTAACTTGACAATGGCAAGCCGCCAGTATCTTGTAGGTGGGGGCCTCTTTAGCATATGAAAGTTCTTCTGAAACCTCCCTTTTCCTTAACTTCCCCCAACTCCTCAGTATATAATCACCACTCCTCAAGACCCCAGGGCAGGAGCTCTTTATACCCACGGGTCCTGTCTCCGTGCTTTAATAAAACCACCATTTTGCACCAAAGACGTCTCAAGAACGCTTTCTTGGTCTTCAGCTCCGGACCTCACCCCACTAAACCTCACCTATATTCCAAAACATCAGTAGCACTGTGAAGATATGCAAATGAAAGTATTAGCACTTTATATTCTTATGCTAATTTTGTACCATCACCCTCCCGGAGAGGAAGCAAGCAGCCTAGTGTCCTTCTCAATTCTGCGGGCAAATTCTGACCAGCCCCTCCAGCCCCCAAACACTCGCTCAGCCTGCGGAAGACCCCCTGAAGACCAGGCTGTGCAGAGTTCATTTGCACTGCTTGGAGGCACACCCGCCCAAGTCCAAGCAACTGGAGGGGAGCGGGGCGAGGGGGGACCTCACAGGCCCGGGGGTTGGGGGTCGGGAGTTACCAACTGCAATCCTGCAGCAGTCATGACCCTTTGGCCTAAGCAGTAACTCAGGGGGCAGGGGAGCGGCTCAGGCCATCCCCCGATGTCACCCTGCGTACACCTAGAACAAGCAGGCCAGCAAATCAAGAAAATCCAGTGCCCAGCAAGTGGTAACAGGACAACAGAATACAGAGAGAATGGTACCCAGGGCCTCCCAGGTAGAGAAGGGATGGTTTTTTTTTGGAAATGTTGGTGAAGTTGGTGGGGTCTGGAGCCAATGGCCAAGACGTCTTCCGTGCAAAACGGTGGTTTATTAAAGCACGGCGACAGGACCCCCAGCCAGAAAAAGCTGTTGCACCGGGGCTGTGAGGGGTGGCTGATTATATACGTGGGAGTTGGGGGCAGTAAGGAAAAGGGAGTTTTCAAAAGGATTTTTGTATGCTAAAGAGGACCTCCAAGATACTGGAGGCCTTGCCATTGTCAAGTTAAGGTTGTTGTTCCCTCTAGTAAAGCATTAACACTAAGACAGCTGTGAGTTTCCTGCTGGAATTTAGGTTATTGATAACAATGTTTTTATTGATAAGAATGCTTTTTTCTTGTAAATCACGAAGACATTTTGTAAACTGAGGGAGACTCTTGTCTTCGATCTCTGTTAACCATTTGTTTTTCCTTCCCTTAGCTTTAGGGCAGCAGGAGTGCCTGAGGAATGTCACACAGAGCCCACCTGGGGGTGGGAGTGGGGGCTGCAGGGTGTCAGCTTGTGCTTTGTCCCGAGTTTGCCTTCTGCTCCCTCATCGGAAGGAAGGTTTGAATTCTCAGCCCTGAAGCACCTTTCCACTTTTTCCCCCTTTGAGTGTGTGTATAGAGGGTAGACAACATATGCACTCTTTTCAGGAGAGAAAATTCAAAAGATATAAAAGGGTCATGGAGTGAAAATAAGTTTCCTTTCCACCCCTAACCTCCAGCCCCCTTCCCAGACACAATCATTTTTACCAATTTCTGTAAATTCTTCCAAAGATATTCTTACACACACCCACCACACACGTAAACTCAAACATATATTCTCATCTTTAATAATATGAATGTTGGCATGCCACATTGTTCTGCACCTCTATTTTTGTATCACTTAATGATCATCCTGGAGATTGTTCTCCATCAGTGCTAAGGGACCTGCCTCACCCTCTGAATGGATATTAGGACAACAGACTTAGCCAGTCCCCTACTGGTGGCTTCTAGATTGCTCATCTTTTTTATCAGATCAGGACTGTAGTGAGTATACTGGCACACGTCATGATACACATATGCAACTTTACCCAGAGCCTCAATGTCTAGAGGTGGAGTCCCTTCCCATGGTGACAGATTGGGTGTCCCCACAATCCACGGACGCTCTGACATTCACCGGCCTGCTTTTCCCCACAGCTCCACCCAGAGCACATCACCAAACTTTCTGAACTTTATCACTAACAGGTGGAAAATAATGTCTCACTGAAGTTTACATCTGCACTACTCTTATAAGTGAGGCTGAACAGCTTTTTACATGTTAAAACCCTGCATTTCCTTTTTTGTAGTTCACACCCTCCGCCCACTTCCTATTAAGCTAGAAAAGATTCTGAGGCCATGGAAAATGAGGCTGTAGACAGACTGCAGTCCTCCATTCCAAGCTGAGCTGAGGCCCCTGGGATTACATGGGGGCAAGGGGTGGGGGCTCTGAGTGTGGCTGTGCTAGGACTTGGGGGAGCCAGCACACCAAAGCTTCCCTGTGGCCTCATGTCTGCTGGTGCCGCACATGAACTTGGCCTAGAGGTCTGTTTTCTATTTAACGATAGGTAGCCTTGCCTTTTGTTTTTGTTTTTTTGTAACTCTTTTCTAACGGGCACGTGGATGACTCAGTCAGTTGAGCAGCAGACTCTTGGTTTCAGCTCAGGTAATGCTTTCAGGGCCATAGGGATTGCCTGTGTCAGGCTCCACACTCAGCGGGAAGCCTGCCTCTCTCTCTCCCTCTGCCTGCCGCTCCCCCTACTTGTGCTCTCACTCACTGTGTCATGTAAATAAATAAAATCTTAAAAAAAAAAAATCCTGACTTAGTCCTTCTGTTTCAAAATTCCTGTGAATCTAAGGTTCAACATGCTACTTTCCCACAATGAAAAGTGGACAAGTTTCCTGATTTACATGAAAACATGCTCAACTCCTGCCTCTTACCTGGAGGTCCTCTGGGTCTGAGTGTGCCCAGAAGGGGGCCATGGTGCACTTGATCTTCCCCTCAGGGTCCATTTCAATGTCCCACCAGGAGAGAACCACCTGAGCTCGGCCAGATGCCAGAGGTTCAAACTGCCGGCTGTGGCAGGCTGCTGAGCTACTGACTTGCTTGCTAAAGTCCACACTGTGGAAGAATACGCAGGAACTTAAGCATATTTTAAGCTCACATACTCCATATTTAAGCTTTTACGGTGACATCACCAGCAATGAGACTTGTCTGCAATGGACTCCCGCCTTCAGAAGCAGGTGACATCAGCTAGATTTCCTTCTCACTCATAAAGAACTTTTAAGACCCCAATTCCACCAAATATCTCAAAGCACCGTTGACTGGGGCGGCTCCTTGGTACCTGAACATAGGCATCACATCACTGAGGGCAGTGAAGTCAGTGGGCGACACCTGGTTCAGCTGAATGTCATAGACAGAGGGAGCACCAGGGCACCTCTCCAGTTCCAAGGGGGGGACGATGACCTGCTCTCCACGGCTGGTCTGAACACGGACAGGAAAGAGCTTATTCCACGACCACATCCTCCGGGACTCCACCAGCTGTGCATAGACAGTTGCTCTGTGAGGTACCGCTTCACAGTTTTCCTAAGTTTATGTCACAAAAACAAAAGAGAGAAAAATAAACCGGTATATGTATTATAAAATAAACCCACAGTAATTCTCATTGATCAAAAGAGGCTTGTTCCTGAACAGCAGGTCGGTTGAGTAGCATCTACCGCCTTACCACTATAGGACGGTGAACTGTTTTTGGCCTAATGTCCTTGGGGAAGAAAAAAAAGGAACCAGATTTCAAAAAGAATACACGTTATGCCTAGAACGATTTATGTCAGGTGAGTTCCCAACTACATGACACTCTTAAATGCTTCAAAAATAACCCTTAATTGTCATCATGCTGATGAACTCCCACACCCACTTTGAAGAAAGAGTCCAAGTCTGCTGCTAAGCAGCGATGATGGCACGGGGCTCCAAGCTTCTCTTCAGCACAGGTCTCACCCAGACACCAGAACCTAGTTATTGCATGGCCCGATGGACAAGTGTCCACCCTCAGATGACCTGGCCTCCTGGCCTCACCAGGCACTGCCCACCACTCCCCTCACTTGGTTTTGGCTGCAGTCCCTCATCCGGTTTCCCTCCTACCTCATTCTTTCACCCGACAGCCTCTACGCAACAGGCACCAGGAGCCCAGGCAGGAGAGGACGCGCCCAGCTCGGACTGCAGGGCCCGGGGCTCCCCTGTCTCAGACTGCAGACCTCTTGGGTCAGATGATCCTCCGCTGTGGGGGCTGTTTCGTACATCATACGATGTTCACTAACCTCCCCGGCCTCTATCCACAAGATGCCAAGAGCATCCCCCTCTCAGTTGTGACACCAAAAATGGCTGCAGGCATGGCTCTGGATGAGAAACACTGCTCTCCTCTGGCTGCCTCACAAGGCTGTGCTTCCCCTACCCATCCTTCACAGAGACAACGCCCCAGAGACATGGTCTGGCCCATCTCTCTCCCTACACACTCTCCCCTGAGGGACATCCGTCAGTCAGTCCATCTACATTTACCAAATACCGCATAGCCAAAAGGCTCTTGGTCCTCTCTATTTGTCTGACCCTCAGACAGCTCAAACTCTGTCTAAATCAAACAAATCACCTTCACCTCTCCCCCTCCTTCCCAACCCTGGTCCTCCTCCCATCTTCCCATTCAGCAGGGAACACCACCGTCCAATCCAGTCTCCCAAGCCCCAAACCCTGGCGTTGCCTCAATGCCTCCACATCTAAGTAATTACCAAGTCCTTGCCCACCTTCCCCATCCCCAAGGGTACCTGTCTAGGCCCATTTCTCTGGTCTCAGCTGAGGCCCACCTCAGCCCCAGAACCTGGATGACTCCAACACCTTCTAACCACTCTTCCTGCCCCTGATCTTGCACCCCAAATGCTCTCCATGTGCCTGCCTACATGAATCCGATGCCAATCCCCTGCTTTAAACCCTCCTGTGGCACCACACTGCCTTCTGGAGCACAGGGGCCCATCTCAGTCTAGTTCTGCCCAGCCCTCCAGCCTTCGCTCTAACCCCACCTCCCCCACTACCCATAATGCCAACAACTCACACCGCACCACCTCACCTTCCCACCTTTGTGCTTGCTGACTTCCTGTACTGAGAACGCCCCCGTATGGCAGACCAACACTTGATTACTATTCAAAGACTGACTCCGCTCGAGCTTCATCTTCCTTGATGCTCCCCATCTTCCCCTACCACAGCGGGCAGGATCTCACCCCACTGACCACCATCTGAGTGTACCCTCCAACTGTACTGTGATAACCTGCTCACCTACCTGCCTGCCCAGGAGCACACCTTCATATTCCTGTCAAAAAAAGGGCCTGGCAAAATGAAGGCGCTCAATAAATTTACCTTCTCGGATCAATCACTAAGTCACTCACCACCACATGGACTATCTGTCAGATATTCCAGCATCCTGGTTGCATGACCTTCAGGAAGGCAGGAAAAGGGACTGGAAATGGAAGCCTTTGTGTAAAGCCATAACTCTTTCAAGCTCAGACACAAGGTGGGCAGATGGGGACAATGATTAGAACAGACAACGGACACCTGGCTACACAGACCAGCTGAGAAAGGAAACTGCGGCCAGCTGCCTGCACATCTTCTTAATTATTAGATGAATTAGAGAAAGACCAATTGGACAACACTAATGTAATTTTAAATATCCTTGTGTTCTCTGTTTCAGGGATTCATCTAGTTGATGGTTTTAATGTGGAAAAATAGAAATAATTACTACCAAAGTTACTAAAAAAAGATCTTACATTTTGGAGACAAGGAGATGTCTCACACAGTGTGATCACCATCACATGCTGACTGTGTGAGTAATGTGGCCTGTGGCCCCAAATGCCCTGGAAGGAGCCACATTCTTCATTCTGGCCAAACCAAAAACCCCCCAACAGGGTCCCAGACTGGGATAGTTGCAGGTTCGCCTAGATGGTGCCCACAGGACAGGTGGCAGCAAAAGAAGCAGACACTCACACTCCTCAGCTGGCCTTTGCCTCTGGGGACATTTATGTCCATAAAAAAGCAAACGTCTCCAAGATAACACTCAGCATGCCTCTCCCTTCTGGAAAAAACTGCCAAAGATTATCACTACCCAAATTCTTTCGCCTAGAATGGTGAGAGGACTTGGCATTCAAGGCCTTCCACCCTCTCCCTGACGTTCCACCATTAGCTCACAAGCCCGCCTAGGGGGTGTTCCCACTGATGAACTGCACAGGTCCTCTACCCGGGACACCTCTCCCTCTCCTCAGGGCCTTTCCACATTCCACCTTCTCTACATATGTCCTCATCTCCTGATCCCGGCCCTCATCTGCCAGTCTGAAAACAAATGTTACTGGTGCTTCTGGTAAGCCTCTCCATTTGGCCATCCAGTCCACCCCATCACTGACCAGTGTGGGTCTTAGAAACAGGAAGGAGGTCTTATATTTCTCCCAGGATGCTAGAACACCTTATACACAGGTGACATTTAAAGAATCTTTGCTGAATTGAATTGAATTTGAAGACATCAACTCTAGCCTACGAAAAGTGGGTAAGAGACCCAGAAGTCCTAATTAAGGAGAACCAATGTCTCCCAGGAATCAAGGATATCCTAGGGGGTACAGGGAAGTACCGAGGGCTCAGGCTGTGCACCAATGAGATGTGTGCGAGCCAGCTGAGGTCACAGTAATGTACCCAAGGGAGGCCCCTGGTTACCTGCACAAGATGCCTGTGCGCGTGCTCATAGGAGGGCAGTGCTCCCTCTCCAATCAATTCCGTGTCAAACAGCTCTGTGATCAGGATATTGGCGCGGCATGGCATGTCACCATCTGAGAAACACAAGGAAACAGAAGCAAACAACTGATGAGAAAAAATATTTACAGCAAAAACGTGAAAGATAAAAGGTTAACAGATTACACTGAAAGCACATACGTACATTCAAGTATCTAGAAGTGTCATGAAACTTTCTAATGGCTCACCAAAAACCCATTTTGATATACATATATGCATCAAGACACTAGCAATTGGTAAATTTTGGTTAAGAGAATGTAGGTGTTTGTTATACCACTCTTTCAATTTTTCTGTATGTTTAATATTGCAAGGGACTCACAGAACTGATAAGAAAACTATAAACACCCAAAAAGAAAACCAGGCAAAAATACAGAGACAATTCAAAACAGAAAAACGAATCAATCAAATATATGGAAAATATTTCATTCTTATTAGCAACTGGACAGATACAAATTAACAATTTATTAACGTATTAGCAAAAATGATTTGAAAAGCAAAACTGAAAGTCAGTCCTTCAAATATTTCTAGGCTTCATGGAGGGAGAGAAAACCAAAGCTAGAGAGGTTGCATAATTCCAGTGATACTATGAGACCCAGGACTCAGCATCACCAGTTCCTTACACTAAACCCCCCTTAAATAAGTTAGTTTCTTGCTACTGAACGATCCCCCAAGTAATAGTTGTTTAGGATAGTAGGAGTAGGGGAGGTCCTTTGGCTGACTCTATTTCCTTAACCTCTGTAATGTAATGTAATGTTACTTCTACAATTTTAATTTTTAATGAGCCAAGAGACAAAATTAACTTTGGAAGGGGCTATTCATCATAGATAATTAACTGTAAACACTCCTAATGGTGCACGAATTCTAATCTGACAAAGCCCACTCATCTTCCCTACAAAGGAAACAGGTCTCATGGATAACACAAGGGAAGAGAAGCATTAAGGAGGTTCAAAGGAGGGTGCAGTACAGACAGCGTGAACCTTAAGTCATGGAGACCTGAGCCTGGATCCCGCTTTCTAGCCCTGAACCCTCAGCGCTGACCATCAGTCACCTCATATGTAAAACAAGGGTAATGAGATCTGCTCCAGGTGGTGCTGGTTAGGACAGCAAAGGTAAAAGCTGTCGACTTTCTACAAAGCACCCTTGTGCTCAATACCATGAAAGGAGGCTAACAAGAAACCTCTGTCTCCCGGCCCAGAGACCGGCCTCCCGAGGGGCACTGCCCAGCCTCTCTGATATCATGCCAAACTCGAATGGAAATACACTGTCGCAAACTGCGCCCCACCCTTACATGTCTGCTTCTCCCTCTGATGCCTTTGCCTCTGCCTCAGTGGACCGCACCACCAGTCACACAGTCCTGAAACCTGGGCATCATTCAGCAGCTCCAGGAGAGCAGGGACCCTGCCTGCTCTGCTCAGCATTTTACCCCAATGCTTAGAACAACGCCCAGCACCCAGGAGCAGTCAGCAAACATTAGCTGAATTCTTGATTCCTCCCTCTCTGTCACCCTACATCCAATCAGTCACCAAGCCCTGCCAATTCTACCTCAAGAATAATTTTTAAGCCAATTAATGCAACTTAAAATGATTTATCGTCCGATTTGCTTCAAATAAACAAAGCTTTATGATCCACAGAATCTCAACACTCTTGAGAGCCTGGTATCTGGCATGCTGAGTACTAATGCAATGTCTGGAGACATTTTTGGTTGGCACAAATGACTGGGGTCGGGGAGGGGGAGAAGGAGGAAGGGGTACTAGGTGCTCCTGGCTTCTACTGGTTCTCTCTTTCTCTTCCTCTGCTCCCCCCCTCATAAAACAAAACAAATTAAAACAAACAAAAAATGCACAAGCCCTGAAAGGATCAAACTGATCTGCCAGTAGCCCAACTGCATGGCAGACAAAGCTTTTAAAGGAAAACAATAAACTCTGGTATTCAGCAATGCAAAACTCCCAAAACACACAGCAAGCAAATACAAATTACTAAACATGTGAAGAAGAAAAATTTAACCCAGAACCAGGATAAAAATTAGTCAAAAGACAGAAAAGTGGAAGAAGATAAAAATATTAAAACAGCTAATATAGATAACCTTAACTATTTAAAAGAACACACAGGGGCGCCTGGGTGGCTCAGTCGGTTAAGTGTCTGCCTCTGGCTCAGGTCATGATCCCAGGGTCCGCTGGGATGTGGGAATCGAGTCCCACATCGGGCTCCCTGCTGAGCAGGGAGTCTGCTTCACCCTCTCCCTCTGCTGCTCCCCCACTGCTTGTGCTCATTCTCACTCTCTCTCAAATAAGTAAATCTTAAAAAAAAAAAAACATACACACACACATACACACAAACATGTAAGAATGGAAATTATAAAAAAGAATCAAAGGAAACATTTAGAGATGAAAAATACAGTACTAGAAATAAAAAGTTCACTAGATGTACCTAGCAGATTAGACACCAGAAAAGATCAGTAAATCTAAAGATCTAACCAGGAAACCACCCACGTCCCTCAGTAGGTGAAGGGATGAACGAAGGTGTCCACACACGAGTGCTACTCAGCAAGAGAAGAGAATGAATCTTGATCCAAAGAATGTGGATGAAACCCAAAAGCATCATGCTACAGAAAAGAAAGCAGGAACAAAAGAGTACACATGGATAATTTCATTTACTCAAAATTCTAGAAAAGGGAGGTCTAACCTGTATGGGGGAAAGCAGATCAGTGGGTGCCTAGGGTCAGTAATATGGAGGCAATTGGCTGTAAAGTGTCATGAGCAATCTCTCTGTGCATGATAAAGACATTCTACTATTTTGATTTTAAAAGAGGTTACAAATGTGTTTACGTTTGTCCAAACTCATCAAACTATATACTAAGACAGATGCACTCATTTTATGAAAATTTACCTCAATAACATTGATTAAAAAACAGGATAACAAAAAAATAGGATAATGATTTGTATACTCTTTTGCATGTATGTTTCAAAAACAAAGGGGACACTAATCCCTTCTTTTGTGCATGTTTCAGGTTCTCCATTAAAAACCTTTTTTTAATTAAATGGAACAAGTATCTTGACCTTGCACAGAGGCTTCCTTCTAAATTACTGCATTTTAAAAAACTGCGAGGCTATCCAGACCCTCGCCCCAGAAGCTTCTTTTGCAAAGCTTTCCACTGTGCTCCCCAGGAATCAGTGGCATGTGAAATTTGAGAAGTCTGATTCAAATGCCTGGACTCTAAAAACTATTCTGAGAGGCTGGAAAGACTGTGCCACACAGGCAACTCGCTCGTGTCGGACGCTGAAGCAGGATGTTGGCACGAAGCAAACCTCTCTCTGCCATCTACTTGGTTTCCACTTCTGTCTGAGGAAACTCAAAACGCAGAGAGCTGAGTCACATAAGAATTCTAACTTGCTTAAAGCAACAGGAAGTTTCATTTGTATCACCACCGTTGCACGGGACAAGCTCTGGGGCTCACTGCTGATTCAACTAGCAGAGAAGCAGAGCCCTTATCTTCAGACCACGTGGAGAAACTCCATTTCTCTGTGATTATCTGAATACTTATTCCAGGTAACCAGAATAAACCTTTTCTTCTCTCCTTCGACGGCAAGTAAAACTTTCAAAAGAGTATGTACTGCTCTTACCTGGCCCTATGGTCACCTCAGTGGAATGCTTGTTGATAATCTTAATTTTATCAGTGAAGCCATTTTTCTCCACAATCTTCACAGCAGCATCAGCCATGGGCTTGAAAACCTAGAAATGAGAGCCAAAACCCAACGAAAAATGAGCAATAAATTGAAGAGTAACATCCTAACATCCAAGATCAGTAAGATATGTTGTGATACAGGTTCTAAGATTTGAAGTAAAAGAGGTCTCCACGACAGAATTTCCTCCTGAATATATGGTATGTACCTCTGTTATCACATGATACAGGCAAAATATATCTTTGGACTGATTTGATGTAAAAAAAGGAGACCTCATCTTTGGAACATAAATACATTATTCTCCAAATGAGTGTCATGAAAATGAATACAAAGGGAAGACACTGCACGGGGTTTAACTTGCATGAGTTAAACCTTAAGAGCCAGGCACACTAGGGAGGCAGGGCTTCCCAAGGAGGTTGCACTATCTAGCAAGGATGGCAGGTGTCAGTGCTGAGCTAGGGGAAGGCAGTAGGGGTGCTTGCCTCAGAAAACCAGGACTTGGGGCCTGGGGCAGGACATGTGCTGTCCTCTCCAGAGGAAAGCGAGACTGTTACTGTATTAGTCCTTAAGTGTGAATAAGCATCAGTTCAAAACTGTCCCAAATCCCCGCTGATGGCAGAATACGGCCTGCATTTTATGGTATTCGAGGCCCTCCACAACACGAACCACCTTACTTCCCCACCCATGACTGATGCTCCGGCCACGCTGATCTCATTGTGCACTAGGCAAGCCTGAGCCTTCTCTGCCCTACTCCCCACCTGCCAAAGCAAACCCAATTTCCAGGGCAGCACATATCCCCTCTTCTCCAGGAGTCTTCCTGAACCCTTCCCATGTCCCTAAACACAAGCCCGTTCCAACTCTCACTTTCTAGCCTGCCCAATTTAGACCGCAAAGCTCCAATCACAGGAGTGCATAAAACATACAGATGTGCATGTGGCCACATCCACCCACAGAGGTGGAAATAGAAAATGAAAAAGTAACTGGTCACAACAACAAGATTTCCATTTTTTCTACCATGAACACATATTTCTTTTATTATCATCAAGGGGGAAATGCTATATTCTTCCGTAAAGAATACATATGTGCTTAGCTAGGAAAAGAAATCTTCACAATCTGTTTCAAATTATTTCTAGGATCTGGCTTGATGTTTTTAGATGTAGTTTGAGGGCCTCATGCCCTCAGTTCTCACTCATCACTTTGCCTCCACCCCAAAGTATCACAAGTTCATGTCACCCCTCAGCCCTCCTGCCTCTTGATGTTATCAACTCATCTCCTCTGCTGACTCTTCAGGCTCTGATGTTCACAGTCTCCTCCTCAGCCACCAAGAACTCAAGACCTCACCCAGAACACTTCTTTCTGGAATGGCCCCTGAAGCTGACTTCCCAACATCATTCTTTGGACTCTCCTGCCCCTCCATTCAGTCTGGGGGACTGACCTTCTTCCAAGCAGTGACCTGTTTTGTCTACGGGTAACCAAATCTCTCAGGCCAGGTCAATGAGGTTAAGTTAAATAGGATTTAACCTTATTCTGGCCAATGATACCCAAGGAGAGGTTTGCTAGAGATTCCTGGGAAAGTTCTTCTGGCTCTTAAAAAAGAGAAGAAAAGTAAGGAAAGCAGGACCATGCTTCATTTTCAAAGACTTTGCCACAGAAATCACTGCAACTAATATACCTTCCCAAAATATTCCTTACTTTTCAAATGTATTAAAAGAGAAGTTTATAGTCATTGTATATGATTTCTTGTATTCCATCCACTCCTCAACCCTACTCCCCTGAGAACACCACCTAAAGGAGGTCACCTCTTAGCTACCAACCCAACGGCCTTCTCTCAGGCCTCATCCTGCTCAACTTCGATACCCGTGCGAATACAGGGTCCACAGGCGTTTAAATGTAAGTTGATTAAAACTGCATGAAATTTAAAAATTCAGTTCCCCAGTCATACAAGTCACACCGCAAGTGCTTAGCAGCCACATGTAGCCAGGGACCACTCTACTGGTCTGCACAGCTATAGAAGATACTCAGCATCACAGAAAGTTCTACCAGGCAATGCTGCTCTGTAACACCCGCACTTGCTGACCACTCCTTCTTTCCCATGATGCCCATGCAATCCGCCCCCTCTTGGCTTCCACCTCTGCCCTCTAGGGTCTCTTCTGTCTGTGTGAACTTGACGTTACCGGCCACTCTTCTTCCCTCACAGGCACGGGTCCCCAGGTCTGCTCTTCTCATTCTACTCTCTCTCCCTGGACAAGCTCCTACACTGTCAGCTTCACCTGTCACATCTTTAGCAAATGACTTGCAAATGCACTTGTACATGTCACTCTCTAAAGGGTCAGACGTCCAGCTCTAGGGACCAGCAGGTTCTCACTCACTGTTCCGGACCTATCTTTCCTGTTGGCATGCAGCTCAGGCAGAGCTGAAAACCACGGGGCAGTCCAGACAGAATGAACACAGGCTCAAAAGTGGTCACTAAAGTAAGAGCTGGGAGGCCACCATAAGATGTCAAGAGCCAACAGAAGAGATGTGAAAGTTACAGATCAGAGCAGCAAGAGAGAAATTAGAAATCCAGGTAACTGACATGGGAATATATGGAAATATCCAAGAGCACAGTCCTACCAATTTTGTCAAAAAACATGTTCTCACCCTGTATCTTTAATTAGCAGTCGACACATACACTGGCTCCTGCCCTGAGACTTGCCTCTCTCCTACTTAGCACATCCAACAGGAAATGCATTATCTTTCCCACAAAGCAAGTATCTTCCTCCGAACTTCTCTTACCAGTCAATGGCATCACTGCCCCCCCGATACCCATACTAGAAATCTCACACACTCTTCCATCAAAGCTACGACTATAGAATGAGCACCATAAGTAGGAATCAAAAGACCAAGCCTCGAGGTCTAGCCCCCCTATTTATTAACTGTGAGGTTAAGTCTTTAACTTCTCTGGGTCTTAGTTTCTTCATTTATAAAGTAAAGATAATAAAATCTACTTAAGACTAACTAAGGCAACCATCCTAAAACATTGATTTCTTTGTATAATTAAAAATCTTGACGACACTCAAAAAGGCCAAGAAGTGACTCTTAATGTTTTTACGAAGTCCTCAGACAAGCGCACAGAGTTACACACACACACACACACACACACACACACACAGCTCTCAGGACTTCCATGAAATCTGAAGCCCACTATTCTTACTTCAGGTTAAGAACTAACTCAAGATATGGGAATTTCAAGTCTTTATTGTAGCACTTAGGTCCTCCATAGTCTCGCTACAATCCACCTTTCTGGATTTCTACCATGACGCCGTTTGCCATGACTCTGTAAAATGCCCACCTTTCCAGATCAGGAGCGTGAGAGCCATACTGAGGGGATGGTGGGTGGGGAGCTGGAAAGAGCCTCAGTAGAATACCCCAGCGTGCTACCTTCAGACTTTGTGTGAGAAAACAAAACACTTCTTGTTTTTTGTTTTAGATTTTATTTATTTGACAGAGAGAGAGAGAGAGAGAGAAAGTACAAGCAGGGTGAGCAGAGGCAGAGGGAGAAGCAGGCTCCCACTGAGCAGAAAGCCCGATGTGGGGCTCGATCCCAGGACCCTGGGATCATGACCTGATCTGAAGGCAGATGCTTAACCAACTGAGCCACCCAGGTGCCCTTTTTCTCTTGTTTAAACCACTGTTATTTTGAGACTTTGTTATTTGCAACTCAATCACCACACAAACCAAATTTCATAGGAAAAAGTGTTTAAATACATGCCACCCCTTTCCAAAGCTGGGAAGAATATACACCAAAATTTTAACAATGGTTAACATACTATTTTTATTTTACATTTACCATACTTCCTATAATGGAATGCATTATTGACATTACTAGAAAAACTATATGTTTAATCATATATTAAACACCCAATTCTTTTTTTTTTAAGATTTTATTTATTTATTTGAGAGAGAGCGAGCACACAAGCAGGGGGAGTGGCAGGCAGAGAGAGAGAGAGAGGGAGAGAAGCAGACTCCCTGCTGGGCAGGGAGCCTGATGCGGGGCTTGATCCCAGGACCCTGAGATCATGACTCAAGCCAAAGGCATACACTTAACTGACAGAGCCACCCAGGTGTCCCTAAACACCCAATTCTTGACAAACATAGTAAGATAGCTGGCTCTGTGGGGACATTTAAGCTAGCAGATCTCAACCTTGGTGCAGAGTCAAAACTCCCAATGCCTAGGCCCCATCCCAGAATAATTAAATTAAAACGGGGGGGGGGGGGAAGAGGGCAGTTAGGCATCAGTATTTTTTGAAGCTATTTAGTGATTCTGACATGCAGCCAAGGCTGAGAACTGCTGTTTTCCGAGGAGAAAATGAGCCCCTGGAGGAAGGAATTATGTCTGATTCATCTCCATATCCTTAGAACCCGGCCCTGTGCTTGGCACAGAGTGAACACTCCATGAACGTGTGTGAACAAACGGATAGGCAAGGTGCATGAGGGACTCCCCACATAAGACACAGGACACACAACTGAAGAGTGTGGCTCACCTCAATGGCATAGCAGAAATCAGCCCCTGCCGTGACCGCCATCATTGACAAGAGTCCTGTGCCAGTGCCAATGTCAAGAACCAAGGCCTTCTGTCCTCTGTCCTTCACCCTGCTCACAGCAGCCCGGATACCTTGGTAATATTTTATATTCTAAGAGAAAGGGAGAAAACAGTTGTCACTTCATACCAGTTACTGGAAATAAATGGAAAGGTACTTTGTGAAGTGTGGGACTCATGGCTGGCAGCAAGAGTGTAAGTCATGATGCCATGGCTTTCTCGCCAAAGGAACAGCCCTGGCTAGCTGGCTCAGGCAGGCCCTGTGAGACTCCAAGAGCATGGGGTCAGCCTCTTGCCCCTTTTTTGGCGACTGTCCCTCCCCTCCACATCCACTCCTCTGTACTCTGCTTCAAGGGGCTGGGGCGCTGCCAACCACATTCTCCTTTTCCAGCTATTCGGTATGGACAAGAGGGAAACTAGAGGGCAACCAGCAGGGCGGAGAAGATTTGCTCCTTCCCAAATGGCTGCTGCTTCCGTCAGTGTCCTCCCAGGAGGGGCAGCCGGCTCCAGAGGCAGCTCCTCGCCGTCCTCTCATCACTAGCTGCCTCGCGCCCCTCGGATGGCAGCAGCACACCAGCAGCTGTCCCCCCAGTTCCACAGGGCCTCTCCTCCACGCTTCCGGGCTCAAGAATCCTACTCCTGTCTGTGTTTCCGCAGCCCCTGACAACGGACCTGCTTCCCACAATGGCTGCCACTAGGGAAACTCGGTGCTCCCATTTGCTTCCCAGGCCTCCCACATCTGTGTTACCAAGTCCTTCTGTTGAAAGACTAACCTGGCTTTGGGTTTCCTGACTGGACTCTAATTCACACAGGTTCCTGGTCTACAAAATAATCCCCTCCCCAGGAAATCATTTCTTTGTTTTTAGTTCAGGTATTTGGTAGCTTAAACAGATACATGTGCTAACTGTAACAGTTTGGCTCAATAGGTACCCTGACCCTTCTGTTGAAAACAACTAATAATGATGGGGACAATACTTGCAAATCTTTTTAAATGACTAATGAGCTGGCAAGTTAGTAAGAAACATTAAGAAGCCAAACACCTAGAAGTGGATTCCTCCCAATTGAGCCTTAAGATGACTGCATGACCAGCTGACACCTTGATCACTGCCTGCCAGGGACCCAGAGCCAGGGGGTACAGCGAAGCTGAGCCCAGATTTCAAACCCACAGAAATGGTGAGATGATAACTCTCTTCAGCCATTAAATTTTGGGATAATTTGTTATGCAATAGTACACAACTAACAGAAGACTGGTATCAAAAGGACAATATTCTCTGACCTGAATGCAATCAGGTTAGAAATCTCAGTAACAAAAATATAACTAAAGAGACTTTTGAACATTGAGAAATTCTAAAATCACAGGTAAAAAATTAAATCAAAAGAGAATTAGAAAATATCTAGAACTGAATTTTTAAAAAAGTACATATCAAAACTAAGGGGGTACCTAAAAGCAGTATTTGGAGAGAAACATACTAGAAAAGACAAACAATAAGGTAAGCATCCACCTCAAAAAATCAGAAAGAGGGGGCGCCTGGGTGGCTCAGTCGGTTAAGCGTCTGCCTTCGGCTCGGGTCATGATCCCAGGGCCCTGGGATGGAGCCCGCATCGGGCTCCCTGCTCAGTGGAAGTCTGTTTCTCCCTCTCCCCCTCCCCCTGCTTGTGTTCCCTCTCTCGCTGTGTCTCTCTATATCAAATAAATAAATAAAATCTTTTAAAAAAGAAAAAATTAGAAAGAGGACTGCAATGTAACTGCCAAATTAGCAGATGAATAAAATTAATAAAACACAAAAATTAACGAACTAGGGAATATAGAGATTTTATAGGATTTTTTAATAAAAGTTATTTCAAAAATCAACTGAAATTGATGAACCTCTGGTAAGTCCAAAAAAAGGGGGGGAGGAGAAGTAACCAAAAACTGGGAATAAGGCAGGGAGCAGCGAGGTGGGGCATCGGATATATGCTGCAGATGTTAGAGAGATTAAAGATTATGAACAACTTTTAGCAAATAAATTTTTTAAAAATCAGATGAAGTGGACTTTATACTAGGAATTCTATCCAATATACTAGAGCAAGAAAAAATGAAATAAGGTCTAGAAAGCACATTGTTATTATTCATACATGAATGTCTGCAAAAACCTAAAATACCTACAGATAATTACTACAACTAAGTAAACTTAGGAAGATTACAGAATTTCGAATTAATAAATAAAAATCAACTTAAATTTTATATATCGGCAATAGCCTTTAAAACCTTGGCAAAGGGAAGGATTTCTTAAACAAGAGACAAAAAGTACCAGCCAATAAAGGACATATAAAAATAAATTTGACATTAAGAACTTGCATTTATCAGATGAAAAAACAACCAACAAAGACACCTACAATACATGTAACTGACAGGTGATTAGCCCCCAAAATATATAAAGAACTCCTGCAAATTACCAAGTCATAAGAAACATGAAAAGCCAATGAACAAACAAAAAGAACTCATACTTAGTAATAACCAGAGGAATGCAAATTAAAATTACACTGACAGACTAGTTCATACCTACCAGATTGACAAGAATGTAAAAACTGGTTAATACCAAATATTAGCAAGGATGTGAAACAACAAGAACGATCACTCACAAGTAGGAGAATGTAGAGAGGCATGACCGCTCTGGGAGAGAATCTGACGTTACCTACTAAAGCTGAACAAACTCAACAGGCAGCAACTCCAGTCCTAGGTATACACAACCTAGAGAAAAGCGTGCATGTGCACCAGAGTACAGGTCCTGGAATGTTCTAGCAGCACCACTTACAACAGCAAGAAGCTAGAAACAACCCAAAAGTCTACCAACAGAATAGGTAAGTAATGATACACTTATACAAGGGATAAGTGTATCCAGTAGTGAATGAACTACAGCTACATGCAAAATGGATGAATCGCAAAAATAATGGTGAGCAAGGAGGCAAGTCATAAAGTATAAACACAGTATGACTCCATTATATGAAGTTCAAAACAGACAAAACTAAGAATTTACTTTTTAATACAGAGTAGGTGGTGAAACTACAAAGAAAAGCAAGAGAGTGACAGAAAATTCAAGACAGTGGAAACTTCTGAGGGGAGGGAGGCACAGCACACAGGAATTCTGAGTAATGGTAATGTTCTATTTCTTAAGCTGAGTGGTAACTGTATGAGCATTTATTTCATTATTCTTTTTTAAACTGTGCACACATGTTTTATTCTTCTGTATGTCTCTCACAAGTATTTTAAAGACTAAGAATGGTACCAGATATCAAAATAGCAGCACTGAACTCTAAAAGAAAATGGATAGGTGTGTCTGGCTGGCTTAGTTGGTGGAGCAGGCGACTCTTGATCTCCGAGTTCTGACTTCGAGCCCCATGTTGGGTGTAGAAATTACTTAAAAATAAAATCTTTAAAAAAAAATTAAAAATTAAAAAAGAAAAGAAAATGGATAATGTCAAAATTCTGATAGGAAGTGATTTCCAAACTAGAATCCATATTCAGCCTAAGTCTTAAGTGTAAGGACAGAATAAAGAAGTTTTAGGATTAGCAAAGTTTCAAAACACTCACCTCCCATGCACCCTCTCACAAGAACCTGAGGAAGAATGTGCTTTGCCAAAAAGAGAGAGTGAACCACAGAGGAACACTAGGGAGCCAGGAAACAGAGGACTCAATCTAAAAAGAGAAGTGAAGGAAATCTGCAGGACAGTAAACAAGAAATCCAGGATGACAGATACACAGCAAGTCTGTAGAGCACCCAGTCTGGACTAAAGCAGGTCAAAATGATCCCAGAGATAATCTCCAAGAAGACAAAACTGAAAGAATAGCCGATTGTTGGGGCGCCTGGGTGGCTAAATCGGTTAAGCATCTGCCTTCAGCTCAGGTCATGATGCCAGGGTCTGGGATTGAGCCCCGCATCGGGCTCCCTGCTCGGCGGGAAGCCTGCTTCTCCCTCTCCCTCTGCTGCTGCTCTGCCTGCTTGCGTTCTCTCTCTCTGTGTGTGTCAAATAAATAAATAAAATCTTAAAAAAAAAAAAAATAGCCGACTGTTTTGACCTTTCCTTCTGAAAGGAAATTTAGACTACTGGGGGAAAGTTTGGGCCTAAAAGAATGATGTATATATAGAAAACAAAGCGAAAAGAAGACCATTATTAGGAAAGAGTTATGCAAGGGCGCCTGGGTGGCTCAGTTGGTTGAGCAACTGCCTTCGGCTCAGGTCATGATCTCAGGGTCCTGGGATCGAGCCCCGCATCAGGCTCCCTGCTCGGCGAGAGGCCTGCTTCTCCCTCTCCCACTCCCCCTGCTTGTGTTCCCTCTCTCACTGTCTCTCTATCAAATAAATAAATAAAACCTTAAAAAAAAAAGTTATGCAAGAAAGGCAAAGTGATCGGAGTATACCACACAGCTCACCTATGAATAGTGTTTCCACAGTTCTAATAAAGTAAACACATGATTTTAACAAACACAGATTTATGTAAGTGCTTACCTCATAACCACCTTTCAGAAAGAGATACTAAACAGCGGTACATAGAGTTTGACTTGCCTACTGAAACACTGAATATTGATTCAGCAAAAATTGTAACTGCACTGGGAGGAGAAGGGAATAAGCTGGAAGGAGGAGGTGAAAGAAAACCCAATTCTCAGCTCTAAACAGGGAAGTCAAGAGAATAGCTACTTATATATGGAAGCCAAAACAAAACAAACAGTTCAAAAAGAAACAATGAGGCTGCCTCTGAGGTTAAGCATTAAGAGGTTTTGTCTGGGGGAGAAACACACCAGGGGACTGCTCTTTTTCACAATAAGCCTTACAGAACTATTTGACTCTTAAAGGAAGTGCATTTATGTCTTGGATAAAATCAGTATGGTGGGGTGCCTGGGTGGCTCAGTTGGTTAAGCGACTGCCTTCGGCTCAGGTCATGATCCTGGAGTCCCGGGATCGAGTCCCGCATCCGGGCTCCCTGCTCAGCGGGGAGTCTGCTTCTCCCTCTGACCCTCTTCCCTCTAGTGCTCTCTATCTCATTCTCTCTCTCTCACATAAATAAATAAAATCTTTTAAAAAAAAATCAGTATGGTATTTTATGTTCTGTGCTTTTTACCACAATAAAAAATTTTTAAAGAAAATCAGTATGGCAATTGCCAGAATTTGTCAAACTAGGAAACTGAACAACAAATATATTATATCAAGTTGATGGTAAAGTGGGGAGCACAGCGGCCTTCCAAACACATTACATCCGCTCAAAGCAGGAGGGTATGGTTTTCTCTGGGTGGCTGTAGGGTAACAGAAGGAGAGAACTGGGAATTGGCCTGGCAGTTTCAGTACAGCCATGAGCCAATCACCTGAGAACCCTCGTTAGCTCCAACCTCAACAGTAAACCAGGGTCGGCATATCCTCCAATTAATGATACCCATTAAATTAGCTGACTTTTTAATTACCCAATTTTGAAGCTACTACAGTGAAACCAAAGCCCTCTTAAGAGGCAATTGGGCACAGTCTATCAAGAATCATACCTATGGGGATGCCTGGGTGGCTCAGTCAGTTAAGCGTCTGCTTTCGGCTCAGGTCATGATCCTGGGGTCCTGGGATAGAGCCCTGTATCGGGCTCCCTGCTCAGTGGGGAGCCTGCTTCTCCCTCTCCCTCTGCCCTTACCCCTGCTTATGCGCTAGCGTGCGTGTGCTCTCTCCCAAATAAATAAAATCTTAAAAAAAAAAAATCATATCTGTGTTCATAACCCTAGACTACACCAAAGATATTCTAATTTTTTTTTTTTTTTTTAAGATTTTATTTAGTTAGGGGCGCCTGGGTGGCTCAGTCGTTAAGCATCTGCCTTCGGCTCAGGTCATGATCCCAGGGTCCTGGGATCGAGCCCCTCATTGGGCTCCCTGCCCGGCGGGAGGCCTGCTTCTCCCTCCCCCACTCCCCCTGCTTTTGTTCCAGCTCTCACTGTGTCTCTCTCTGTCGAGATTTTATTTAGTTATTCAACAGAGAGAGAGAGATAGCGGGAGCAGGAACACAAGCAGGGGGAGTGGGAGAGGGAGAAGCAGGGAGCTCGATGTGGGGCTCGATCCCAGGACCCTGGGATCATGACCTGAGCCGAAGGCAGACGCTTAACGACTGAGCCACCCAGGCGCCCCCACCAAAGATATTCTGATGGCAAGTAACCACATGAAAAGATATCTGACATCACTAGTCATTAGAAAAAATGGAAATTAAAGCCAGAGTTAAATGTACGTTTAACATATGGATTCAGCAATTCCACACATACATATATACCCCAAAGAAATGAAAATGTGTCCACACATCACTTGCATGTGAATGTTTACAAATAGGACTACTATGATAGCCAAAACTGAAAATAATCCAAATGTCCATCAACTGGTAAATGGATAAACAAAATATGGTAAATCTATATAATGGAGTATTACTTAGCAATAAAAAGGAGTGAATATTAATATATACTCAACATGAATGAACCTCAAAAACATGATGAAGGAAAACAGACACATAAGACTATCTCTCATATCACTTCATTTATATGAAATTTCTAGGAAAGGCAAAACTGCAATGACAGAAAGCAGATCAGTGGTTGCCAAGGGCTGAGAGCGGGCACCAGGAGTGACTGCAGGCATGAGATAATTTTACGGGATAATGGAAGTGTTCTAAAATAATAACAGAATGCAAGGCACCATGCAAAAGTACAGAGAAATTAGTTTACCTTGGCTCTGCCCACTACCCAGCAAATTCTGACTCCATTTCCTGATAGGGAGAAGTGGGGGCGGGGGGGAGAAGTTAAAGGGGTAAATAATAAAGAGTCAGGAACACTCCTCCAAGGAGTTTGGATTTTACCTTGACAGCAATGAGAGGCCACCAAGGAGGGTGCTAAACAGGATTCTCAGGGTTTCAAGCAGAGGAATAACAGAGACTGGCATTTCAGAAAGACCCCTTGGGCTGCCAGATAGAGAAAGCAAAGAGAAGCCAACACTAGGTCTGAGCAGGCAGTGGGGCTGAAAGATGCACAGGATTTGACGAAAGACTGTAGGCTCAGATGAGGAAAAGGGTGCCATCTTTCCGGGCTGCCTAACTGAACGGATGGCAATGCCATTTGTCAAATCCCCTGGAAGCTGAGGCAAAAAGGATCCACTTTGCAGATGACACTAAAATCAGAGAGGCTCACAGACCCATGAATCCATTAAGAAGCCAAGACCATCAAGCTAGAGAAAAGTAGTCAAAACCAGGAACAATGTTTGTTCCACATTCTGTAATGCCAACAGCTCAGCAAAGGCACTCAGGTGTTTGACGAAAATCAGGGAGGCGCCTAGCCCCCTTTGGTGTGGCCTACAAACTAATGGTGCTTAAGGAGACTGTTCTGCCATGATGTTGCCATGAATTATGCAGGCTGAGCAGCTAACCAGGGCTGGATGAAGTAGACACCACCACCGACGTAGCCTCACGACCAACCCTACCATGTCCCCTGATCCTTCTGCTGCCCTGCACTGCTCAGTTTTAAGTGTGGCCCTGCATCCTTCTCCTTCAAGTCTCCCCATTTCTTTTTTTTTTTAAAGATTTTATTTATTTGAGGGATAGAATGAGATAGAGAGAGAGCATGAGGGGGGGAGGGTCAGAGGGAGAAGCAGACCCCCCACTGAGCAGGGAGCCCGATGGGGGACTCAATCCCAGGACACCGGGATCATGACCTGAGCCGAAGGCAGTCACCTAACCAAATGAGCCACCCAGGCGCCCAAGCCTCCCCATTTCTGAGCCATCCAGATGAGAATGCCTAGTCAAGCCCTGTTTCTTGTAGACCAGAAAAACCTGCATTGCTGCCACCCTAAGACCAGAACTATAACATAATTCAAACAGGAAAAGAAAACTCAGATGAAACAAAAATGAGAAAAGAAAAAAAAAAAAGCTGAAATGTCACCGTGCAATGGAAGCCAAAAGTGCTCTACAAAATAGTCTGCAGTGGCCTCTAGAGATTTGATTTTAAAATTACAAATGGACTATACCAGGTAAACCTGTGTAATTAGAGAATTTTTATCTAGAAGAGAAAATGGAGATCAGCTAGAGAGATCCCATTCCTTTTAAATCCTAATGAACAAGATCTGCAGAGGTCTTATGTCTTCTCCAAGGTCACACTCAGGTAAACAGCAGAGCTGGAAGTAGGCCCCAGCCTCCTGACTGATTTCCTGACCACTGCACCATGATGCCCATCTACATTATTCTACCATCATGCCTCTGGAGGAAATGGGTTTTGTGTGTTTGAGGGAAATTTTAACCTTGTAACTCCAGGTTTCAAACCCCACAGTGAGCTAATGGTTTCCTTTTACACTTACTCTGTCTTTGTCATGCAGCATATCAGCATAGGATGATCTAAAAAACAAACAAAACAAAAAGACAAGTCAGAAACCTCTACTAATAATGATATCCATCAACCTATGAGAGCATTCACATATATAATGCATTCCTAAATCAGATGGAACAAACATCCAGGCCAGCCCATTTTATTTTTCATCACTGAACCATAACTGACACCCAATGTTATATCAGTTTCAGGTGTACAACATAGTGATTTGACAATTCTACACTCAGTGCTCACTAGAGTAAATGTAGTCACCATGTAACATTACTACAATATTATTATATGTTCCCCATGCTGTACCTTACATCTCTAATCCAGGCCTGTTTTTAAATTTTTTTTTAAGGTTTTATTTATTTCTTTGATAGAGAGCGATTGAGTGAGAGAGAGCATGAGCAGGGGGAAAGGGAGAGGCAGACTCCCCTACTGAGCAGGGTGCCCAACAAGAGGCTCGATCCCAGGACCCTGGGATAATCACAGATGCAACGCTGCAGAGAGATATCAAGAAAAGTATACACCTGCTATGTAAGTGAGGGGTGTCATGCCCAGCACTTTCCCTTACCTCATCAGGGAGAACAAAGAGTTCACCAAACTACAGGCTGTTAAAGGGAGGAGAGCTGCTTTTCTGTATTTTGTCACAATTCACAAACTTGGAAAATCTCTGGCAGGATCAGGATAAACCTCCAGAACTCACGAGTCCCAGCCCAAAAATACCTTTTGAGTTCCAGGTAAGAGCTCAGACACTCTCAATTAACAGAGGACCTCCCGCTTCGGGTCAACATCAAAATCACGGGAGAGTTTTTGTTTTTTTAAAGTAGGCTCTACGCCTAACCAACATGAGGCTTGAACTCACAACCCTGAGATCAAGAGTCACATACATCACCACATCAAAACTAATGATGTATTGTATGGTGATTAACATAATAAAATAAAATTAAAAAAAAGAGTCACAGACATGCTCTACTGACTGAGCCAACCAGGCAGCCTGGAGAGCTTATTTTAAATGCAGATTCCCATGATACATGCAAATAGATCCTGATCCAAAAAACTGGGCAGAGTCTGGAAATATGCACTTGAACTGGTGCCCCAGGCAAGCATGACACAGTTCATACTCTACACTTTGAGGAGCACTGTACTAAAAGAATAGTGTTGTTGTTGTTTTTATTTTCTTTAATATTTTATTTATTTATTTGACAGAGCGAGAGAGCACAAGTAGGGGGAACAGTAGAGGGAGAGGGAGAAGCAGGCTCCCCGCCAAGCAGGGAGCCCTATGCGGGGCTAGACGACCTGAGCCGAAGGCAGATGCTTAACCATCTGAGCCACTCAGGTGCCCCGATGTTGTTTTTTTTAATGGCACAAGGCTTTTACATGTGAACCCACCTACAAATGTGTAGTTGAAATCTGGTTCTGCCTTTCTCTGCCTTTCAAGAGGCATTTCTGGTCCCCATCTTCCCAGCTTCATCACCCACTCTCCACACCACTCCACAGACACATCACTCTCCCAGAGCACTACGAGCCCACTCCATCAGTAACATCCAGGATTTCTGTCCCAGGTAGACACTCCCTCTTCCCGGAACGCTCTCCTCTTTTCCACTTTCTGGCCATTCCCTCCTGGTTCTCCTGCCTCCCCTATTTCAGGATTCCTTCTTCAGCCCTCTACCTTTCTCATTCCATACCCTCTCTGAGAGCCTGCAATCTCTTCTAGTTTCAATTCTAACGAATGCAAATTGGCTCCAGACCCATGTTTATCTGCCCACTGGCATCTCTACCTGGATGTCCAAACCCAGATCCTAATCTCCATCACCTTCCTCTTCCCAGCAACACTCATTTCTCCTGTGTTCTCCCTCGGGAACAACAGCTCCATCCACTCCTTCACCCTAACCAGAAATCCTGAGTGCTTCTTTAATTTTCTCTCTCGTTCCTTCACTGCATCCAATGAGTTACCAAACTCAAGCTCCCTCGAAGCTGTCTCCTCCTCTCCCCACCTCTACTGCCTCACCTGTGGGGTTGCAATAACACCCAAATGGATTCCGCTCCCTCCAACCCACTTTCCACACTGTTCTCAGTAAACAGTAAACGTTCCAAAATGCAACCTAATCTGTTTGTTCCGTTTAACATCCAATCACTCAGAAAATAATGTCCAGTATCTTTAGAAAGAAGGTAATGTTTTTGATCCCTTATTCTGCACCACACACTGTATTTCACTCATTCATCAAACCACCTTAAAATAAAGATATATGAAAGGGCGCCTGGGTGGCTCAGTCGTTAAGCATCTGCCTTTGGCTCGGGTCGTGATCCCGGGGTCCTGGGATCGAGCCCCACATCGGGCTCCCTGCTCTGCGGGAAGCCTGCTTCTCCCTCTCCCACTCCTGCTGCTTCTGTTCCCTCTCTCACTGTGTCTCTGTCAAATAAATAAAAAAATCTTTAAAAAAAAACCGTTTAAAAAAAAAATAAAGATATATGAAGAGATGTACATTATTACATATATCAAGCCATATATTACCATACTGAGGCTCCAGGAAGTGAAGCAGCTTGACTAATGTCAGACTTGAGACAAGACAGGCCCAGACTTAACTCCCATGCTCCTCTTCCTGCATTTTGCCACCACCCTTCACAATATGACCCTGCCTACCTTTTTCAGTATCCTCTCACCACAGCCCTGCTTTTATACCCCATTCCAGCCCCTTCAAACTGCTTGCAACCCCCCAAACCAGTTCATCTGGAAGGTTACACGTAATCCCTGCAGCTCAGAAAGCAATTTCCCTCCTTCTAGATTTGGGAAATCACTCAAGTATCACTCCCCAGCCCAGCTGTTCTTGCTGCTTCCATGAACTCTTGTGCCTGTATCCACTGGTTTTTCTCTCATTGTCATAATTTTTTCTATGTCTGTCTCTTGACAAAACGGCATATCCCTGGGATGCCTGGGTGGCTCAGTTGGTTAGCGTCTGCATTCGGCTCAGGTCATGATCCCAGAGTCCTGGGATCAAGTCCCCCATCAGGCTCCTTGCTCAGCGGGGAGCCTGCTTCTCCCTCTCCCTCTGCCTGCCATTCCCCCTGCTTGTGCTGTCTGTCTCACAAATAAATAAAGTCTTAAAAAAAAAAAACAACACAAACTGCATGTCCCTTGAGGATGGGAACCCTATCGTCTTCATTTTGGTATTCACAGTCCTAGCATGGTGCTATCATGTTGTATGCACTTAATGATTGCTAAAGAACAGTAACTCACTTACACAGGTTTAAAGATCCCATCCAGGGCGCCTGGGTGGCTCAGTTGGTTAAGCGACTGCCTTCGGCTCAGGTCATGATCCTGGAGTCCCGGGGTTGGGTCCCGCATCGGGCTCCCTGCTCAGCAGGGAGTCCGCTTCTCCCTCTCACCCTCTTCCCTCTTGTGCTCTGTCTCATTCTCTCTCTCTCAAATAAATAAATAAAATCTTTAAAAATAAATAAATAAATAAAGATCCCATCCAAGGGAAAAAAGAAAACACATTTTTTCACTTTTTCCATTCAAGAGAATTCAGCCATATGTTAAATGTATCACCATTTCGGTAGCTCAAGTAAATGATTAAATTTCAGAAACACTACCACTACCAACTACAACTACTACTACTAACGACTACTACTACTACTACTAACTACTAACTACTACTACTACTACTGACCCTTGGGCCCTCTTTGCTCCATGAGACAGACCCTCCAAGACTCCAACAAGGCTGTTACATGATATCTGACTCTCCACACAGAAATGACTTTGCCTCACTCCCACACAAACCTACCTGGCTAAGCAGACCTGCTCGTGACCAGTACCTGCCCTGAAGAGCAGCACTGGGTAATGCCTAGTCCATATTCAGATTGCATTCCGGGGCTCCTGCTTTGAGATCAAATGCCCCACCCAGCTGCAACCAATTGTGAACACACCCTTGTTACCTTGCAATCTCCTGGTGGTAATCATAGTGCTCATCCTCCTCCAGCCACTCCACAGATCCCGTGGTCGGATTGGCCCGCCCGCAGAAGACTTTCATGGTGCCAATCAGCTCCTCGGTTTTAGCACAGAAAAGCAGCCTTGCCAGCTCACTTCTTGTGGACAGGTCTAATCGTCAGAATCTATTCACATCATAATGCCCAAAATGGAAAGAAAAAAAATTTTAAAGACCAAAAAAAAAAAGGAAAAAGGAAAAAAAAATCAAGAAATACACAAGTGTCAAAGCCACTGAAAATATTTGTTAATCAGTATTTTAATCTTTCCAGCAAGAGTTATTTGATTTTATATTCAGCATATAACATCAAAAACTGTAATACATAAATTCATAAAGCTATCTGGAAACTTCAGCAGTCCTCAGTGATTCCAACACAGGTCAAATGAGCCTCACAAGTGCATCTGGGTGCAGCCTCAAAGTAAAGGCAGATGAGAAGAGAAATAAAGCAGAGGGAACAGGAGGCTAATAGGAAAGGAGAAACAGAGACTGGGGTGGTGGTAAAAGTGCCACCAATATGGCCTCAGTATATCAAACACACTTAGTTTAAGGAAAAATAATAAAGGGATGCCTGGGTGGCTCAGTTGGTTAAGGGTCTGCCTTGGGCTCAGGTCATGATCTCAGGGTCCTGGGATCGAGCCCTGCATCGGGCTCCCTGCTCAGCGGGGATTCTGCTTCTCCCCCTGCTTGTGTGTTCTCTCTCTCTGACAAATAAATAAGTAAAATCTTTTAAAAAAAGAGGGAAAAATAATAAAGAGCACTTCAAACAAACTAGGAAAACCTTTATCTAAACAAATAAACCACAGCTATCCCAGAAATACGTTGAGCCAAAAAATAAGCAAATCACAGAATACATACGGTATGATTACATTTACATAAAATTATAATTATGCAAAACAAGAACCATATATCCTTCAGGGATCACACTAAAAAGATACAGAAGGGAATGAGGACAGTGGTTATCCTTAAGAGGGAAGGGAAAAGCCTGGGATCAAGAAGGGTCACAGAGGGGACTTCAAAATAGCACTGTTTCTTCCGTAAATGGGTGGTAGGATTAAAGAGGTTCACGATACTGTCATTCTTTATGCCTTACCATTTTTTAGTAACTTGTACTTCTTACTCAATATTTGGTTTTAAAAGCAATTTTAAAAAAAGTCTTCATCTAGGGGTGCCTGCCTGGCTCAGTCTTTATAGAGTGTGCAACTCTGGATTTCAGGGTCTTGAGTTCGAGCCCCACATCGGGTATAGAGATTAGAGAAATTAAAAAAAATTTTTTTAAGATTTTATTTATTAGAGGGAGTGTGCGTGCATGCGCGCGCGCGCGCGCGCACACACACACACACACGCAGAGGGGCAGAGGGAGAGGGAAAAAACAGACTCCCTGATGAGCAGGGACCCTGGGATCATGACCTGAGCTGAAGGCAGCCCCTTAACCGACTCAGCCAACCAGGCACCCCTAAAGAAATAAAAATTTAAAAGAATATTCATCTAAAAAACATCCTTCAAATAAATTTGCCAGATTCATGTCTTGTGTGCGCTATTTCCGCAGAGATCTATTTCTGACAGAGAAACACCACACCTCAAAGTCTGAAGGCACCTCTCTGCAAGTCTGAGCTCTTCCAGCATCCTGCCTCTTACCTTCAGAAAACATCAAGTGTTCCACATTTCCCTTCATTTCCTGTTAAACACCGATCCATCTTCAGGAAACCTTAGAAAGAATGCCTACTCCATAGATCCCTAAAACGTCCCTAAGGCACTTAATTGGCCAGAATTATGGCCTTTCTCTTGAAGTTATCTAGACTACTAAACACTGAATTTTTTTTTTTTTTTAATGATTTTATTTACTTAGAGAAAGAGAGCCCTGCCAGGGGAGGTGCAGAGGGAGAGGGAGAGAGAATCTCAGGCAGACCCAACACTGAGCTCGGAGTCTGACAGGGGGCTGGATCTCACGACCCTGAGATCATGACCTGAGCTGAAATCAAGAGACTGACACTTAAACCCACTGAGCCACCCAGATGCCCCAAACACTGAATTCTTACAAATGAGGACAGGGAAAATCTTTTCTGAAAAGACTCAGGCAGTCAGTGGTCTGGTTCAAAGTAGTCAATTTATCCTTCAGTGAAACTCGACTTCTAAAATCTCACTGTATCCATCCTCTCATCTAGCGGCTCTCAAACTTTGTGGCAACCTCAGTAAGAAATATACTTTACATCGACACAATACACACACATAAACATAAGCTTTCACAAAACAGTATTTAGCCTTCCTGTCAGCAAGGCCCTCTGATATATTCTACTCTATTTCATTTTTTTTTAATTGATCATGATCTGGGCGCCTGGGTGGCTCAGTCAGTTAAGTCTGCCTTCAGCTCAGGTCATGATCCCAGAGTCCTGGGATCAAGCCCTGTGTCGAGCTCCATGCTCGTCCGGGAGCCTGCTTCTCCCTCTCTCCACCCTGCTTGATGTTCTCTCTCGCTATCTCTGTGGCCAGCTCTGTCTCTCTCTCAAATAAATAAAACCTTTAATAAATAAATTGATCATGATCCACTAAACTGATTTCATAATTGGTGGGTTGCAACCTATAGGTTAAAAAGCTTTGCTAGAGGGAGCACCTGGGTGGCTCAAATGGTTGAGCGTCTGCCTTCTGCTCAGGTCGTGGTCCCGGGGTCCTGGGATCGAGGTCCCACATCAGGCTCCTGACTCAGCGGGGAGCCTGCTTCTCCCTCTCCCTCTGCCTCTCCCCCTGCTCATGTACTCTCTCTCTGTCTCAAACGAATAAATAAAATCTTTAAAAAAAAAAAAAAGCTTTGCTAGAATCAACTGTGAACATCTCCTGTGCTAATTAAAAAAAAAAAAAAAAAGAGTACAACTATCAGAATACCTAATGTGCTTCAGAAAACTGTCCGGGGCGCGCCTGGGTGGCTCAGTCGTTAAGCATCTGCCTTTGGCTCAGGTCATGATCCCAGAGTCCTGGGATCAAGCCCCGCATCGGGCTCCCTGCTTGGCGGGAAGCCTGCTTCTCCCTCTCCCGCTCCCCCTGCTTGTGTCCCCTCTCTGTGTCTCTGTCAAATAAATAAATAAAATCTGAAAAGAAAGAAAGAAAAAGAAAGAAAGAAAGAAAGAAAGAAAGAAAGAAAGAAAGAAAGAAAGAAAGAAAGAAATCTGTGTCCAAAAAATGCTACAGTAGAAAGAAATGGCCACATCTGGCTGAATGTTCAGTGAAGACTTAAAAGATGGCTACGATTTAAGGCAAGCATGGGAGGGAGAGGGCACTTCACCAGATTAGAAAGACTGTCATGCACAGTGAATAAACCAGTTTAGCTGAAGTGAAACTGAACAAGGAGTCAAACATGTCAGTGGGGTACATACTGTGGAGAGCCCTGAAACCCTTATCCTGTGGGGTATGTGGGATCAATTCTGAAGTCATTTAAAGGTTAACAGTTTAGTATTCTAATCTATATAAATTCCCTTTTTGTGCTCTTGTTCGGGCTTTACATAGGACTACAGTTTTTTTCACAACCGGAGAGAAGTTACTGGTTTCATATAAATGTAAATAAATGCTTGCAGATGGGAACCATGTCTTGTAACCTCTCTGGGTGAGAACTACACATCTTCTACAGAGAAATCCCCTCATTTATTATTACAACTTGTCTTCTCCCAAAAGGAGCCACACTCCAGATTCAAGAGATATTGTGACACCCCCCCTCCTCATTCTCCAAAACCTGTCAACTCACGTGATGGTTTATAAGGAGGGAATGGAAACCACCCTGCCAAGCCCCAAGTGGATTACCTGTCAGACTTCACAGCAGGTATTTGGTTCATTCATTCAAAATTTAGTAAAATTTACACAATGCCAAACACTGCATTTGGGACTGGAGGACTTCCATAAACAAAAAAAGGAGATCTTTGTCCTCCAACAGATTAGATTTTAATGAGGGAGAGACGAAGGATAAACAATCCCAGACTGTGTGGGTGCAAGAAAGGAAATATGCAGGATGCTATTAAAAAGAGTAACACGGATATGGAAAGACTGATGAAGGTGCCATTTAAGTTGAGACATGCAAGATAAGCCAGGTTAAAAGTTATGGAAGAGTAGTGCTTATGTCTCTGGAAACCTTAGCCCTACTTTTCCCCTACCCCTATTTTCCCTACGGGAGAAAAATAAGTAAGTGCATAAGCTAAAACTGACAAAAGCCTGAGTGACTGAAGCACTTTGAGCAAAAGTAAAATAGACTATACCGGTGGGCTTCTGCAAATCACACTGGGCCAAGCTGACTTCGGAAAAATGTTTGGATTTTGTTCTACATGCACTGGGAGCCACTCAAGAGTTTTAAGCACAAAAATGTCCACGTCAGATGTACGCTTTTACAGGGCCACTCTGGCTAACATGTGGTGAACGGACCGGTTTCCAACTACTCAACACAGTGACTGGGAAAAGCGAGCCCATAAGCAGTTCCCTGAATCCAAGAAACGTGGCCCAGCTAGGGATGCGATGCTTCGAGCTCCGTTATGATTGCGGTTCGAGTCTCTGTCGCTGAGAGGAGGCGCCAAGTAGTATAATCCAGGTCCCCGTGGAGGTCACCCAACAGAACCGTATCCCAGTTCTCTTGCCAGCCTAGGGGCTTTAAGCCGCCCCATAAGGGCTCTATAAAGGTCCTCGAGAATCCGGAAGAGACGGAAACTCCGGCGGCCCAATACGCCCACGCCAGGTCCGTCAGCCCGAGCCCCTGGGCTGAGAACAGATGATGGCTGCACTCGGGACTCTACTGAGACCCCTCATTTCCAACCCGCCCAGGGCCTCACCCGCCGCAGAAACCGTTCCGTTCACTTCCGCCGCCGCCTCCACCTGGCCGCGGCGGGCAAAAGGGGGCGGGACTTCCCAGCGTCCGCTGAGCGTGCCGGGAGCGAGGCCCGGAAGCGGAACTTTAAGGCCCTCCCGTCGCACCCCACGCGTTCCCACAGTGCTCCGCGACAGCCGCTATGGAGGCCGGCAGGACTGCAGTCCTTCGCGTGAAGCGAAAGCGCAGCGCGGAGCCTGCCGAAGCCCTTGTCCTCTCTTGTAAACGCCTCCGGAGCGGCGCCGTCGAGTCGGCGACCCAAAAGACACCCCCCGAGGATCTGGAGAGAGGGCCGGAGAATAATGTCTTCCAATTGGTGGCCACCGTGCGCTCCCAGGTATTGGGCGGGATGGAGCCGGTGTTTGAAGGGGATCTTAGGGCACTGCCGGGACGAAATTGTATCCCTGACCCGTTGACGAACCTCCTGCTTACCCCGGCTTCCCTCCCCTACTACCTTCCAGGAGGAGCCAGTCCAGGCGCTCGTTCGAGCCGCCTTGCGCCCCTCCCAGGGCAGCCAGCAGCGTATCCGCCGCGATCTCCGCGCTTCGACTCGGGAGATCCGGCAGGAGGGCCGCTACAGGGTGATCTCAGGCCGCCGGTCCTCGGGGATTCCCTCGGGTGGCCCAGAGCCCATCGACGCACCGGGAAACCCAGAAGCCTCCGAGGACGCAGGTTTCCAGCTGTTCGACCTAGTCCACGAGGAAGGAGACCCAGAGGCCGTCGCCACCGCAGGCTCCTCCAAGGTGAGTACCCGCCCAGAGAGCACTGGGCTTCCCCGGACTGATAGTGCCAGGAGTCTGGGCGTTAAGTCAGCACATAGTTAAGAGGAGGTATACGGCTTCACCTTACTGATGGATGATCTGTCAGCCCTGGTAACCTCTTTTTGCAGGTTAGGTTATTCATTCAACAAGTATTTACTGAGTGGCCACTATGTGCCAGGCATTGTTCTTAGGTTCTGTGGATATAGCTTTGAGGACTTAACACTCATTTTTTTTTTTTAATATTTTATTTGTTTACTTGACAGCGAGAGAGGGAACACAAGCATGGGGGTAGTGGGAGAGGGAGAAGCAGGCTTCCTGCCAAGCAGGGAGCCCCATGCGGGGCTCGATCCCCCGACCTGGGATCATGACCCGAGCCGACTTCTCCCGCGGAGCAGGGAGCCCCATGCGGGGCTCGATCCCAGGACTCTGGGATCATGACCCGAGCCGACTGAGCCACCCAGGCGCCCCGAGGACTTAAGATTCAGGTAGAGGAGAGAAACAGTAAAGAAGTGAAATTCAATGTCAGATGTTGATAGGGGCTGTGTGTGGGGGGGTGGGTGGCAGGGAAAGAGTTGTTCCATTTCAGAGAGGGTCTCAGAAAATGACATGAGGGAGAGCTTGGAGGAGGTGAATGGCAAGGCACTGTGGATATCTTAAAGACAGTTTGGTGTTTTCAAGATCACTGTGCCCAGAGCCCAGCGAACTGAGGAGCTGGAGCCCAGTGAACGGAGGAAAAATAATAAGGAATTTGGGAGAGGATGCCTACTAGACCCTGAAGGTACTTTTAAGGACACACTGCCTTTCACCCTGAGATGGGGAATTACTGGAGGTTTTTGAGCAAGGTAAAGATAGAACAGATGGAAAAACTCATCAAAGGGAGGTTAAAGGACTGGTCTTGGGTAGCAAATCAAGTTTGAGGCAGATTGAAGTGTAGAGTGCAAGTCTTCTCACATTTAATCCAGTGTTCTTTCCGTTGTTACATTTACTAAATTTGTTTTGTACCTCAGTTCCAAAAAACAAACTCTACTACATGTATTAAGACTATAGAAATAGGGGTGCCTGGGTGGCTCAGTCATTAAGCTTCTGCCTTCAGCTCAGGTCATAATCCCAGGGTCCTGGGATCGAGCCCCGCATCGGGCTCCCTGCTCGGCGGAAAGCCTGCTTCTCCCCCTCTCCCACTCCCCCTGCTTGTGTTCCCTCTCTCGCTCGCTCGCTCTCTCTGTCAAATAAATAAAATCTTTAAAAAAAAAAAGACTATAGAAATAGAAAATTCTCAAGCTAAGGTTTGCCTCCTCTTGATAAGCATTTTTAAAAAAAAAAAACTTCACTCTTCACTCCTTTTGATAGTTTTTGAGATTTAAAAACTGAAATTTTAATTCAAAATATATCAAGCAAAAAATATTTAATCGTGGTGCTAATATACTTGGATAACAATTTGGGCATGATGACTATAGCCACTTCTTACCAAAACTAATTGAAGACTGATTTATAAGTTACAAGTCAAATACCTTTTAAAAGTAAACCAATGTTGAGTGGAATCACATCAATCAAATAGCTCATTCAGTTTTATAACAAAAACTAGTATATAAACTGATGAAGGATGTGAACACAGATCTTTCTCAACAATGCAATACAAGCTGTAAATACATCAAAAAGTGTTTGCTCATTGGGGCATCTGGGTGGCTTAGTCGGTTAAATGGCTGCCTTAGGCTCAGGTCATGATCCTAGGGTCCTGGGATCAAGCCCCGCATCAGGGAGCCTGCTTCTCCCTCTCCCTCTGCCCCTCCTCCCTGCTTGTTCTCTCTCTCTCTCTTTCAAATAAATAAATAAAATTTTTTTTTTAAAAAGTGTTTGCACATGAAAGAGTGGGACATCTCGCTTGCCAGCAGTCACCTTCATTTGTCGTGCAACAGAAGAGTGATTTAAAAATGGGTAGTGTTGAGAAGGGCAAGAAGATTTTTGTTCAGAAGTGTGCCCATTGCCATACTGTCGAAAAGAGAGGCAAGGCAAGGCATAAGACTGGGCCAAATCTCTATGGTCTATTTGAGCGAAAGACAGGTCGGGCCCCTGGATTTTCTTTCTTTCTTTTTTTTTAAAGATTTTATTTATTTATTTGAGAGAGAGAGCACATGAGAGGGGGGAGGGTCAGAGAGAGAAGCAGACTCCCTGCTGAGCAGGGAGCCCGATGTGGGACTCGATCCTGGGACTCCAGGATCATGACCCGAGCCGAAGGCAGTCGCTTAACCAACTGAGCCACCCAGGCGCCCTGGCCCCTGGATTTTCTTACAAGGATGCCAACAAGAGGTATCCAGGCACCTGGGTGGCTCAGTCAGTTGAGTGACTTCAGCTCAGGTCATGATCTTGGGGTCAGAGGATCCAGCTCTGCATTGGGCATGCTCAGCAGGGAGTCTACTTGTCCTTCTGCCCCTCCCCCCATGTGCAAGAGCTCTTGCTTTCAAATAAATAAGTAAAATAATAAATAGAACAAATGCATCACCTGGGGAGAGGAGACACTGATGGAGTATTTGGATAACCTGAAGAAGTACATCCCTGAAACAAAAATTATCTTCGTGACACTAAGACAGGAGAAAGGGCAGACTTGATAGCTTATCTCAAAAAAGCTAAGGAGTAATAATTGGCCACAACTTTATTACAAAACAAAAATGTCTCATGTCTTTTTATGTGTACCATATTTAAACTGTATCATACACCAGAATTCAGATTATGAATGGCTGATAGAGTGTTTCTTTTAGACAGTCCTGATTTAAATAAGATTGGCTTGTGGTTAAATGAATAGGATCACCTTTTTGAACTTTGATAGTAATTCTGGTTCAGCAAGTGCTATCACTGTTTTCCCCTTCCAGAGATTTGATTACAATTGATTAGTAATGGTCACCTTTTT